CATTAGCACCTCTAGTAATATATTTACTGAGAAAAATAGTGACGTGTTCAATACTTATTTTACCTGCTGTATGCGTGCTGCGGCTTATAGACAAGTGTGGCCTATATACAGTATTAGGGATGTCCTGATCAGATACTCAATATCGGTATCGGTGGCAGCTATGGCCATTTTTTGAAAATCAGGTAGAATCGGCTTTAGTCATGTGATCGGGCTGATCTAGTTTTTCAACAGTTTTCAGCATCATCATGCTTTACAACTGCCTTCAAGAAGTCAAGATGCACACAAGTATGCAACCATGTCCACAGTGTGGGAACACTTTTCAATGGAAAACAATGATGCTGAAACTGCATCCTGCAAAATCTGCAAACAGGATGTTTCTCATGGTGGGAACAGCAGGGCTCACTTTAATACTACCAACCTTATCATTCGGAAAGAAATAAAAAATAAATTTATCAGATCGGTACTGGAAAGACTAATCATTAAAAAAATCAGATTGTATCGGGAGCCAAAAAATCTGGATCGGGACATCCCTACTATGTACAGTATGTACARTTATTATTAGTGGGTGGGGCTTATATTCAAGTTAACTTATAGTCTGGAAATTACAGCAATCATCATCTGAGAGAAAAAGCTTTCCCCTGCAACCCTTCCTAACAAGCCATGAATGTTCATAGTGTAATGTTTATCCCTAACCTACACCAGCACCTACTATATGGAGTTCATTTAGAGTTTAGAATTCTTACTTGTAGGGGTCATTAGGGTCCTTGGCGTCGCAGGCCTCAGCGTGTCCATTACACACACATCGTCCTCCAATACTGATGTCTTTGATGCTGTAGTAATACTGGAGGAAACCAACAAAATGCATTATTATTGGTACAATTTGAAATAAAATCATGTTTCTGTTTTGACGCCAAGATTTTTAATTTGAGAGCTTACAGTAAAGAAAATAATAATAATAATAATAATAATAATAATAATAATAATAATAATAATAATAATAATAATAATAATAATAATAATAATAATAATAATACATCTTCTTTACCCTTGTCTCTCTTCCAGGTCAAATGGAGCTCATGTCTATCTCCAGCAGTCATTTTAATTACATATAAAACTGATATTTTTACTTCTTTAAAATTCAACACCTAGTTACATGCTAGGGTTGTGCAAAATCGTATCGGTTACAATTAATCATCCAAAAAACTTTAACTGATTATTTTTTGGCACTTGATGATTAATACGATTAATGCCACCAGGCAAACTGACTGGAGATTTCCCTGGTCAGTCCACTTGGTGCTCCTCTCCGCTTCAAATATTACGAACATTTTAAAAAAGTTCTTTACTTTCTTTATCATAACTCCAGTTCAATTTGGTCAATCAACACAGTTAAAAATTGATGTATAGTATAGCCTGATGTCTGTGCTTTTGACACAATTTGGAACAGATTGTTATGGTGAGCAAATCTTTCTAACTAGAATTATTTAAATTGGTCAWACAACAAGGGCATATTGGTGTCCAGGGACTCCAGGGGATTAATCGTCATATTAATCRTTATCGTCTAAATACCACAGTTAAATGTGATTWTTTTTTTGCCAATAACGCCCAACCTTATTACAYGCTACAAATTTAAATACGACCGATCTCATCATAAAAAGAGTTGTTCATGGACTCTAAAAAATGAAGTGTTGAAATTATTTATCTTCTTAAAATTGCTCAATTAACCTGATAACTTGGATAAATAAATTCAACACTTCACTATTTAGAGTGTGTGTACAAGTACTTTTACTTTCCTGATTATTTTGAGCACTTTTTGTGACTTTTACTTAAGTACTTTTCATATCAGTGAAATTACATTTTATTAAAGTCATTTTCTGTCCAGTTTTCTTTTTTCAATTACCTTATACACCTTTGGTCCAGTCCATCACAGGGACACAGAGATGAATGAGACTAACAACCACTCACACTGCCCCCTCAAACTTAGAGTTATCAATGAGCCTTTTGACCGGAGGATGCAAAATGCGTCAATGAAGGAAAAACCAATCAAGCTAGCAGAAACACAGAAAGCAGCTGTCAACAGTTGGAGGATGTGAATGTGTTGACAGATCTTGTGAATACCTGAGATTCTCGTTATCTACATCTAATGTGAAGCTGGTTGTGCTCTATGGTGCAGCACCATGGAGAGCAACCCAGAAGACAGCACAAAATTCAGGTCTGTGTGAACTAATGTCGAAGAAGAGTTTTGTGAATTTACTGGAAGGACAGAGTTTGACATGAAGATTTATGGGACCTTCCGGGGGGAAGAACTTATGGCAGGCCAAATAGTGAGGAGAAAATGGATACGGATTGGACGTAACCTGCAGAAACCTGCCAGTAATGTCACACAGAAGGGTCTTTTCTGGAATCCACAGGCTAAAAGATAGAGAGGTGGTCTGAGGAACAGATGGAGAAGAGATGTAGAGGGAGACAGATGAAGAAATTTGGGCTAAAAAAATGTTGATGGAGGATGAAGATGGACTGGTCTATGGTTTTTTTTATGGTAGAGTTTTAAAAGTACAGTTCTGTTATGTTATCACAGCRGTGGACCACATCAGGTTGGTGGTCTGCCCTGGGACAACCCAGATCGGACTTGTTAGAGGCACATTTCGGAACACTCATCTCCTGTTCCCCTTTATGATTTATGATAATATATTGTACATATGTAAGTAAAATAAGAATTTACAAGTAGTTTTTCTGGATGATACAGCATACAGCCCATTATAGCACCAAGCAAGATGGCTGCCACACATCTCAWCTCAAGCTCAGCTCGCAGTGATGCATTACCCTGCGGGTGACGGTGGGATCCCGCAGTGCCTTGCCCATCAGGTGCCCCAGCAGCGTGTTGGTTCTCAGGAARCGCAGCCGGATGTTGGTGGCCTTGGTGAATTCCCTCAGCACTGGTGAGTAGGAGAAGTTCATGGCTCCGGGACGACCGTTCACCAGGGACACCACGATCTTCCAGAGGGGGAAGACGAGAGRTGCATCAYGACTTTACACACAGGAAGGATATTAAACACTTCTGAACTCTGAATAAAAGAAAACAGTGACTGGAGGATCMATAAAAATCTTGGTCATTTTTGAGACTAAACTTTGTTTAAAAACTGAAGAAATCCTCAGAATAACTGCCTTTAAAAATCAAACTTCATTCTAATTTAATGACTCTAGATGAGCTATAGGATGTTTGTATTGATCACCTTGAAGTTTCTAGTTTATTCCCACACTCCTGTATGAAATCAAACAAACATAACCATGTGCMCTCTTTCAGATGACAGTGGTGGTCTTCAACACACCCTTGTTATGATGTCATTTATAAACAAATGAACTAACCTCTCCATTTTCTAATGGCACTATCCGTGAGTATTCGATGGTGCAGATGACGTCATCATCAGAGCTGATCCTCTCAATGGTCCTCTGTCCGAACCGCTCGATACAGTCTCTTTTAGAGGCTACACACACACACACACACACACACACACACACACACACACACACACACACACACACACAC